TTTTCCCCACATTCCACCTTGAAGAAATTTATAGGTAGACTTTTTCATTTGTGTAATCAGATGTAAATCTTATTTTGAGGCTCAATAAATACTCAATAAAATCGTATTTGAATGACCCTAAGGTAAATCTTTTATTAACATTATCGACATATACTTCACATACAATAAAGCACACCCATTTCAAGTGTACCATTGGATGAGTTTTGACAGACGTATATGCTCATGAAACCACCACAGTTTAAATACAGCATTTCCATCAATCCAAAGTGTTTCCTATGCCCCTCTGTGCAATCCCACCGTCACTCCAGCCCTAGGCAACCACTGATTTGCTTTCTGTCATTAGAGATTAGCTTTGCCTTTTCTTGGACTATGTATAAATGCGATCATACAGTCTGTCCTTGTTTTGTGTCTGATTTCAAGGTGAATCTTTTTTAAATGAAATAATGAATCTCTGACTTACCACATCCCGATTTTCATGTAGGGCATTTTCTTAAGCTGCGAAGCCCTTATATAGAGAACATACCTATACACTAATTGAGGTAGAGCCTTTATTGGTTTTAAGGTAGACTGAACTTAACATTTTCACTTGTCTGGAGCCATGGAGAGAAATAACAAGCTTTTACTTAGGTATTTTCTTTAATGTGTCGATTTTCAGCCAATTGTAGGGATTTTTTGGAGCATCTATAATTCCATTCACATTAAATACAGTATTATGATACACATTGTCTGATGGGTCCAGTAAGCAAAATGATGAAGGTTTTGAGAATGATCTAATATTTAAAGTTTAAAAACTAAACACCAGCAGTGTAAAAATCTCAATTACCAGAACACCAAAGTAGCTGGAATTCACTTTTCTCTTCCACTTTTATCATAGAGGCGAATCACAAGAAGAGAGACTAATATATAATACTCAATAGCTGTACCCCCAAATTTCTGATGGATCAGCACTGAGCAGGAAGGAAGTCACTCTTGGTGATCCTACAGAACTCTGTCCTGATTAGCGTTGTTCTGGTCAAAATACTGATGAATAGTTGGATTTAGTGGTTCTCAACATTTTTTGAGGTCATGGATCACCTTGAAAATCTGTTGAAAACTCAGGCCCCCTCTCCATAAGAAAAACGCTTATATACACAAAGTGTCATGTACTGTTTTAGGTAAATTACAGATTCCCTGAATCCAAGATTAAGAACTAGTGACTTGGATAAAAACACAGAAGGGACACTTAACAAATGTGTGAATGCCTTCCTCCTGGGGAGAATGATTACTATGTTGTAGGACTCAAAACGATCTCGATAGCCCGGAAGCTAAGCTGAAATCAAACAGGAATGGAAGGGAAAGTCCAGATTTAAAAATATAGAGTACATGTTGCCCATGAAGAAACCTTAGCTGGGCCAGGCTGGGAAGTAGGCGAGGTTAATCTGAAGCGGTATCTTTGGATCTCTCCTTTCAGTGCCCCTCCTGGCCATCCGACGTCTTAGTTTCTAAACACCCAGGATTCTCATGCACCTACTAGCTCAGTGACCCACTCAGCTGTGCATCCCTCAGGCATAATTCATTGCTCAGGACCTACCTCTACCCTTGCAACCGCTTTATTTTTTACAGATTTTATCTATTTATTTGAGAGAGAGATTGCACACGAGTGGGGGGAAGGGGCAGAGGGAAAGAATCTCCAAGCAGACTCCCTGCTGAGCACAGAGCCTGGATGTGGGGCTCAGTGTCAGGACCCTGAGCTCATGACCTGAGCCGAAATCAAGAGTTGGACACTCAACGGACTGGGCCCTCCAGCCCCCCTCCCTTGGTCCCATTTTAAAAAAGCAGTTGTTGTGTGACCTGTTCTTGTCTCGTGACCATGATCTTTTATCATCCGGTGATGTCATTTGGATTGATAATGAACGAGCTCTTTTTTGAGTATTTCACCTTTTGAAAGGGGACCCTTGAACACAGGGAATTCCTTAATCCAAAGAGTCTAAATGGTGGGATTTCAAGCACCAGAACAATCCCGAGGGGAGCTACTTCTGGAGAAAGGAGTCTTCTCGCATCAAACCATGTGGGTTATCATCTACGCTACCTACTTGTAAGCCACTTGGGGTGAGTGCAAGTTTCATCTCGGTCTCCTCAGTCTTCTATTAGCATATCCATAATACACCATGTATTTGTTTGCGATAAATCCTGAGGCCCTGTAAAAGATGAAATCGTAACAAAATTTTCACCAAAGTTTACTTGGGCAGGAAAGTGGGCTCATGTTAAAGAGCTTTCCAACAAGGGAACCAAGCAAAGGCAGATCAGAAAATAAGTAATAGAATGGATCATTACCCACACATTCTGATTAAACTTCAAATTATTTCAGCATAATTCTCATTCAGAGAGGGTACTACCGGGTTTATTTTGCCATAGAGAGTTAAAATTTAAGTGGGTGGTCCCAATGAAATCCCAGGTTTCTTAACCATTCACTTCTCACTGTCTAAAAAGATTTCCAGGAACTTCCCTCAGCTCTTTGTTTCTGTACTTAGCAACTGGGATATGCTAAAGTCAACAGAACAGCTTTCTGGCTGTAGGTATTTATTCTCCTCAAATTCATCTGTTTATTCAGTCATCCGCTGGGTATTAATGGATTGAACGGCTGCTATGAACCAGGTACTGTGGCCGGTGACACCATGAGTAGAATTAGAGCTACCTCTTGTCCCCGAGTAGCTTACAGCCTCGCTAACTATGACAATGTCTTGCATGTTATCAACAGTAGTGTGCTGACAGCAGGCAAGGAGGGCTGGAATTTGTACTGCACAGGGGAGGGCCTCCAAATTATAGGCCTCCTTTCTCTTTGAGAAAAAGGGACTAAAACATAGTGATTCTTGACCAATAGCTAAGAAATCACGTGCACTGATATCTCCAGCGGCCTTCAGAGTACCAGGTGACCTCTACCCCCAATACACACTGGGAAGTTCATATTTGCAGCTCTTACCCTGGCCTTTGTGTAACTTGGGCTCGATGAGCTTTCACTAAGAGAAGCTAGAAGAGCTAGGAGGGGGCTTTGGGAGAACAGCACTCAACCTTTTTCAACCGCAGCACACGTGAGGGTCCTAACACACACAATGGCCCACTCCTGCCTCTGATGGGGTGGAGAGGGAGATAATAAGAGAGTTACCTTCTTAGCTGGGGAGACAGGAAGGGGTAAACGCTTAAAAAGTTGGGTCATTCCTATTTATCCGCACCCAATCCCCAGAGGAGACTCCCTGCGTGAGGAGGGAAAATAATCTATCTGCCTGACATTATACCGAGTGGACTAGATCCCAGTGTAATGCTCTTTCAACGGCAACAAATTAATTTCAATGAAACAAACCCAAAGTTGTAGTAATAAACGATTGTTTTACAATGTCTATGTGCTGGAAAACAGGTCAGAGGGTCTCATGAAAGCTTCAAACCAATCAACAGTCAATAATCTTGTCTTTGAAGCTTTGGTTTCAACAAGGCAAAACAAAGCAAAGGCTTAGAGATGTTACCAAAGGTTCCAGGAAACCAAAAACAAACCACCAAAGTAAAGAAAAGCAGGTTGGGGGGGGGCGAAGATGCTACAACTACCAGGTAATTATCAAAATGCCACAGTACTTTCCATTTGGTCCAGTTTTTGACTAGAGGCAGACAGAAAATGACCCAAGATCCAGGAAAGCTCCATTCCTCTGGCTCTGGGTATTTTCTCAACTGTAACATGGGAGACGATTTTTTGCCTTCTTAAAGGCTGCAGTGGAGAATGGATTATAAATGTTTGTAAACTATATAGTGTGGTAGAACTATACTGTTGTAAAAACCACATCCCCTGCTAATTGGTTCAATACTCTTTTTTTCTCTTGACCAGAGATTCTTAACCTTTTGGGGAGTCACAGATCCCTCTGAGAATCTGGTGAAAGCTACAGAAAGAACGCTTTTCCCGGAAAAATAGACATACAGATGTCTGCCATTTCAGGCAGTCAGAACTGTGACGCTGGAGCCATAGAACCCAAAGTAAAGAGCCCCCACACCGTATCACACTTGCCGGCAGACTGACCTGGGGGCTCAACAGCGTGACACGGTATGGAAAGAGCAGCAGACAGAGCCATGTCATGACCTCACTGTAGCTGACACAGTTAGGAAATGGGGAAATCAGAACACAGGGGTCATTCAGTTAAACTGCTAAGTCAAAGATTATGAAGTAAGACGCTGATTTACCCTGAGTATCACAGAAACTCCCTCAAACTGTGGATTCCCTCCAAGAGATACTTACACTTTTTTTTCCCACTGTTCCTATTTACCTGCATCTTTCAGCTTATATTCAGTTAAGCTTTACAACTGAAATTCTCATCTTTCTTGAGGTCATTTGGAAGCAACTATAAAACCTGCTGACCTTGAATCACCTTCATCTCTACTGGGTTTCCTATATGAACAGATAACAATCTGATCAGTATCCAGGGCCATTAATATCCTTATAATATATAGTTGATATTTATAAAATGCCAGTAGCCTACAAATTAACTGAGGCTCGGTTTCATCTGTTTCTTATTAAAGAACTAAGATCAGTTTTCTTTCACACCCAAAAAGCCGATTACCTCAGACAAGAAATGTCTGAGTTTATGAAATGTCTTACTTTATGAAGAGTAAATGCCTTCAGACCTAACAGGCCCGATTAGATGAGATACGACTTTACTCTGTTCACTGCTAAAAACCACTGGAAAGAAATTATTTCCCCTGTCATCAATTCTATCCCTGGCATTCAATAAACAAACGTTTAGTTGCATAAGAAGATGCTTCCCTGATTAATATTTGTAAAGATCGGCACTCAAAATATTTATGTAAAGGTTTTACATCATCAACGACAGGACACCTTTCGTGTTTACAGAACTCATTTCAGCTACTGGCGATTAAGTCTCCGACCTACAATTAATGCAAGTTTGTGGGCTCACGAGGATCACTTATTTTAAGCAATATTTGCAGCATGAGATTCAAATTAAAAACATAATTTGAAGAGTCACTTGGAGTTCATTAGATTTTATGACAATAGCAATCATTTACGTTGTTTCCCTAAATTGAGATCAAGGTTACACTTATTTTCTTTGCTCACATTTAATTAGCAACTCAGAAGATTACTATTTTTAAAGATTTTAGCTGCAGCTCAAGCTTCGCTAATTTTATTGACGTTAGAGCTAGCAAAACTGAGAAATGTCTTTATGAAGGATTTTAAGGTTTACTACATGGGGTGTCCAACCGATTTGAAAGGGAAACTGGGAGATTCTCGCAACATTTTATTTTTTGTTTCTGAAATACAAATCAAAATACATTTTTGTTACATATCACATTAACAAGTTTGACATTTCTTCCCAATACAGGATGACTTAATGTAGGTACTTTAAAACTTCTGTTTTAAAAACAATACATTTTATTTTGGAGGGAAAGAGCTCATTAAAAAGACACATGGGTACACAGGCTCTTATTTTTCATTCTTTTAGTGTTTAGGAATTCTGAACTTGGATAGCATGGCCTCCAACTGAAAATTTGGTCCTTTAAAATATATACGTATTCCTCCCAAAACAAAAAGATTGAAGCGTATTGTTGAAAAAACAGAAATTTTTGGTATAGGCCTCTGAGTGAGCTTGAGAGACAAGTTAGGATGTGTTTCAACTGGACAGTGGAACATTCAAGAACCTACTTAGAAACACGTGACAAACAGCCTGGTGCTATTGGGGTTGTTGTGCCTCAGAGGGGAGGGTGCTAAAGATGCACCAAAGCCACGGAACCCACTAACTCAAAATTAACCCAAATTCGGTACGGCATAATATACAACAAGAGTAGAACAATCTCAACAGTTATTCAATGCCTGGCAAGCTAGTTGTAAGCTTATGACAAAGACCTCAGCAGGAACAATATTCGACACGTTTCTAAGACTTTGAAGACGAAAACACTTCATCGTTCGTGGACGATGGATTGTGCACAAGGACATGAGTTTCCAGGATACCGGGGACAACCACAGAAACATACACAGGAAGAATACATCCAAGCTGCTTAACCTTCCACCATTCTCTTGAGTATTAAACCCAAACCACCTCTGGCCACTTGCAGGGGTGTCTTTTCTTCTTTATTCTCAATGTAAATGCTTGCTCCTTGGGACACCAGCAGTTTCGCTTCTTCCACTCTCTCCTCGTCACAGGCTAAGTGTCTGAAATTGAGGACCACAAAGAGTGATTACTCCCTACCAATTCTATGTAACGATGAGAATTTCCTGATAGGTGGTCTGAACTGCCTATTACTAGGTGGTATAATATTAGAATATTTAGTCAGGAAAGGAAAGACCGATTTGCGTGGGAAAGACTACTCGTGAAGCTAAAATTCCGTGGAACAGCCTTATGGTACCAGATCACGTATCGTAATTCTGGACACATGACCATCGAAGAAGGGATCTAAATGCCAGCCTAAGAACAGCTTCCATATTTTATGGAGATCAGAGTAGTCTGCCCCAAAGGCACCCAATACTTCGGGGCTACAATTTAGAAAAGCCCCAGCTCATAATCTGCTAACAGCAATTGGTGTGGTTGGAATTTTGGAAAAGCAGTTCAAAAGGTGTTGTTATCTCCTTTGATCCTTACATCCACCTTGTAAGTTAACATGGTGGTAATTATCCCCACTTTACAGCTGAAATTGTGGCTGAGGTCGAAGTCCTTACCTATGTTGACAGGGCTGGGCGGTGACTGAGGGGGAAACCTCAGCGGGCACTTACGGTTTATCAGGCAGGGTATCAAGCACTTTACCTGTCATGTTATCTAAGCCTCACAACAGTCTAGTGAGGAAGGAATTATTATCCTCATATCACAGGTGCAGAAATTAAGGCTCAGGAAGGTTAAGTTACTTCTCCAAGTTACTTAATGTACGTGTTTAATATAGTCGGTTAAGTGGCTGAGTTTGAATTGAGTAAACAGCATCTAGCTATCCCCAAATCCTAGGCTCTTCCCGGGACCCTGTCCCGCCTGTCTCCTAGGTTTCTTACTTGTTTATGGAGAAAAGAGCTAGCACATGGGCAAGTCTTTCTAAACCGAGTCACTCGGGACTAAAGAAAAGACTTTTAAAACGAAGAGTTAGGAAAACAATACTTGAAAAAGACTGAATCTCACTTTAGACTAAAAAGGAGACTCAGAATTTCTGGTTCAAAAGAGTCACCACTCACTAAGGAAGAAAAGTAGCCATGTACTGTAGAAAAAAATACCAAGGCAGAGGATGGCCTCAGGTGATAGGCATGAATCAATTCCAGATGGATCTGAGTTACATGAAGAACAGGAACTCTCAACCAAAACCAATGCAATGTCTTTGTTTGCTTTTTTTTTTTTTTTAAAAAAGCCTACAATAAAATACAGGTAAATATTTAACTAATTTCAGGGTGAGAAAGGACTTTCCAGTCATGAGGGAAGATTAATAGGTCTGACTACTTAGAAGCTGAAAAACTTCTGTTCTTTAGAAAAAATAATGAACATGAAAAGACAAACTGGGAAAAAAAGAGTTTCGACTAACACAGCAAGTTAGTATTTTTAGCACGTCAAGTCAAGGGCACTTGAAAAAAAAAAATCACAAAAAATAAATTAATTCCCCGAAAGCAGAGAAAGGGACACACAAAAGGTTCTAATTTAGAGCAGAAATCTAATCAGTTGGAGGCATTAAAAGATGTTTCACTTCGCAGATAATAAAAAAAATGCAAACGACAACTTGAAATACCACGTCTGATATAACAGAAGGCTATTTTCCGTGTTAGTGAGGTAACAGGCACTCTCAGACCTGCTGTCAGGCGGGGCCAATGATACAACTCCTCTGGAAGCACTGTGGTGATATATAGCAATAGTCTCAAAATGTGTGTATTCGTTGACTCAGCAGTCCCACTTCTGGGAGTCTATACTAAGGTAATACTCAACAATATGGCCAAAGATTTTTGTACAAACTTGGTCAGTGTAGCATGATTTATATTCATGGAAAACTCAAAAAAGCTTAAACAATACAGTCAGAGGAATGATTAAATCCTGGCACATCCATAAAATGGAATTGTATACAGCCATGCAAAAATGTTTTAAAAACATTTAATAAAAAAATATTTAAGAACATTGGAAAATGCTCACAATATACTATGAGGTTAAAGGAATAGGATATAATTACATACATAGTATGATCCCAATTTTGCAAAAAAACTCCTTTAAATATGCATATTTGCATACAAAAGAATGGGAGGAAATATATGAAAAGTACAGAGGCAATTTTAACTTTTATCCTTACACTTTTGTGTGCTTCCAAATTTTTTGTCATACACATGTATTATGATTATAAGCAGAAAAAAAAGAAACGACGTGTGAGAATTAGTGCAAGCAGGCTAATGTCAAGGAGAGCACAAATGACCGCTACTTGTCACTTACAGAGGAGTGTTACCCTCAGTGTCTTGGATATTTGTGGATGCTTTGTAGTACAGAAGGATATGAATCATCTTCAAGTTACCCTTGGCTGCCGCCCGGTGCATTGCTGTGGCCTCATAATGGTCCTTAGCATCTGGATTAGCCCCGCCTTCCAGTAACATGACTGCGATCTGGAACCCCGGGGAAGAAAACAATGCAGACGTCTAGTTGTGTTCATGTACAGGTTCAGAACTCAAGAGGGGCAGCCAAGGAACGGGAGCCTACCTCGTGCCTGTTTTTGGAGGCTGCGTAATGTAGGGGGGTACAGCCATTTTGGTTGACGGCATTCACTTGAGCACCTTTACCCAGAAGGGCTTTTACGATCTCATCCCGGCCGGCAGAAGCAGCAATATGAAGAGGAGACCAACCTGCCTATGAAAGAGATAGGCGGTACAAAAAACGGGGGGGGGGGGCAGGGAAGGCACAGGGATTAATGCTGACATGTAGGTAGGGTTTACAAAGAGCTGTGTGTGAATGATTTAAAAAAAAATAACCTTCTTTTCCCCTCATTTAACACTGCAGAACATTTGGAAAGTAGATGTATACAGGAGGGATACCAAACCACCCATAATCCCATAACACAGAAATAATGATACAGGAGTAATTCTAATGTGTTTTCCAGTTGGGATTATAGGACATAAAGTTCTGTGAGTTGCATTTCCCACAATGTCCACTTCTTGTCTTGTTGTGAGAATTTCCTACGCCCTTCTTTGGATTCTTGACTTTATTGGTTGCATATTATTTTATTAATATGGCTATGCCTACTGTATTCAACCAATCCTACACTGAATTTTTATTTCTTTGCTATTATAAATATTCCTTCAGTGAGCATCCTTGAAAAGGCATCTTTGCCTACAAAACATTTCCATCCTTATTCTTCACCAAGTTTTATCTTAATATAACCAATACCATTACAATAAATCTCTGTGTAACAACAATAAAAGGATACCCAGGCCCTGAGTATTCAAGCAATGCTCACACACAAAAAAAGCCTTCCAACATAATAAAAAGGATTTGTGGTCTTGTAGCCTTAATCTGCATGTTAACCTTAAATTATGGGGTACGAGTGGCAGAACCAACATTCTAAAATAATGCACCCACTAGACCTGTGTGAGGTCACCAAGGCCCTGCCATAACTAACTGCCTAGTCATAAAGGTTACAATTTCGTTTGTGAGCGTGATACTCAGTCCTCAGTAAACACCAGTCTGGAGTCTAAAGATAACCGGGCCTTTATCAAGTCTGCCTAGGACTCACATCATCTTTATCATTCACTGGCACTCCAAGTTGCAGCAAGAATTCCACAATTTCTGTATGTCCGGCTGAGCACGCCCAGTGCAACGCGGTTCTGCTGTCCTGCATGGGAAACAAGAGAAGCAAGACGGTCGACATTCTTGAAGAGAAACAGAAGAAGGAAGGAAAGAATGCCGAAAAAGAGTAATACTGGGGCCAGCAAGCCTATAGTTTGGGAACAAGAAATGGAGAGCACAGGATCCTCTGGTAGGTAAACTTACACCACATTACTTACTGTTGTAAGAGAGACCAAGGTTTCAGTAACATGGGGGAGAACCCATTGATGAATGTAATTCTGGGCAGAATCCGGCCTCGAAAGCAGTTGAGCACGAAACTGATTTCACTGCTTTGGCAGAAATACACCTTCGGCTATTTACTATGACGTTATTTATGTACTGTTATGCCAGGCACGCTGCTGGGAGTTTTGCAGTCATTGTTTCATTTAATCTCCATGATCCTGCACAGTGGACATCATCCCCATTTTCCAGATAAGGAAACTAAGACTCCTCAGGCTAAACAACTTGTCCAAGGTCACACAGCTAGTAAATGGTGAAACTGGGCCATAAACCCATCTGACGTTGAAATTTCTAGATGCTCTGGAAAGAATGAATGAACTTTATGGGCAAGAAATGTTCATAAAACTAGTTGAGATTATCTACAGATTCATTTAAAAAGCATACCACACACAAAATGAGAGAGCAACATTACTTTAAAAAGTTAAGAAGCCAGGAGTTAGTTGTGTTTCTCAAAGGGAATTTCTTTTTTTTTTTTTGCAGTGACAGCTGTATTTCTTAGCTCTATGGAAAAGAAAGTGGTATTTTAAACTTTATTACAAAAGAATTCAAACACATAAAAATAGAGAGACTATAATAGAAACCCATATGTCTATTACCTAGATTTAATATTTTGCCATATTTGCCTCACTTCATTTCCTCGATGAGGTTTTTAAAAACAAATCCTAAATATCATGATTTTTCATCCCTAAATATTTCAGTATCTAAAGAATAAGGATGCTGTCCAACAGAGCTATGAGGCCATTATCACACCTACCATAATTAACACTAACTCCTTGATAACATCTAAAAGTTGGTATTCGTATTTCCCCAGCTGTCCCCCAAATGTTTTTTAATAGTTAGCTTGTTTGAATCAGGCTCCAGACACGGCCCATAATTTGCATTTGACTGTTGGTTCTTAAAGTCACTTGACCTGGAATAGCTTCCCTCTTTTTTATTCCATTGACTCAATGAAGAATAGATTATTAAATCTTAATTTGACATTAACTTAAATTTCAAGTATTAAATATTATCAGACCATCATGAAGGTAAATTAGGTAAAGGTAAAGCCATTTGCAGGTTGAGCCATAAAGAAAAGCCCCAGAAGTCAGTCTCCTGACTTCTACTCTTCCCAAAGACACAAAATGGAGATTTGTAAATCCCTGACACTGTATTGCTTAGTGCTTAGCATGGTATCTGTCATAAAGAATGCAATCTATACATATTTGTTGGCTTGCTGAGGTCACCGTGAATCTTTCTAGAAACTCGGGGTGAAAGCATGAGGGTCCTTTGAGCAGAAAGCTTCCCAAAGTCCATTCACTTTTGTTCTGCCTCTGCCTAGGAATGCCCGTTCACTGCCCCAGGAAAATCCCACTCATCCTTCAAGATCCAACCAACCTTCCCTCCTTTGCAAAACCTTTTCAATTATCACAACATTCGCTCTTCTAAGGGAGATTAAATCAGGTCCTGCCATTCTGTGTTCTGAAAGCACCACGTAAACTTCTCTCCAGAGTAGTCACCACAATTTGTTACCGGACGTATGATTTGGGGTTACTTTATTGACGTCTGCTTCTTCCACTCGACTGTATCCCCAGCTCCTAGCAAACTGCCTGGCACAGAATTGGCGTTCGGTTACACGTGTTTCATGGAATAAAACGACGAGTAAGAAGTAAAGAAACCGATTAAAAAAAATAAAAAAGCTTTTCTCCACGGGTAGCTCAAAGATTGGGCATTTCTGAGAAACGCGGTAAACGTTCTAGAAATATCCAAAATTCAGCGAGCTAAGTACCGCCCCTCCTCTCCAAAATATTTGAGGTTTGCGGGGCTAGCTCCCGCCGCCCAATTCCGAGTCCTGAGGTGACCCCGGCTAAGGATGGGGCGGCGGGGGCGGGGATCTGGCCCTTACGGAACCGGCCTCCCTTGGGCCCGGCCAGGCAGCCACCTTAGGCCTCGTCGATGCCGCCGCCTGCGCAGAGGCCCCAGCGCTGCTTTACCTGGTCAGTCCTAGTAGCCAGGGATTTATCGGCCAGGATCCTCTCCTTCAACTCCTCCAGCTTCCCGCTGTAGGCCAGGTTGCAGACCATTAGGTTAGACACACACCCCTCCATGTCTCTTTCCCAGGATCACCGTGAAGCGCGACCCACGACCGCCTCACGTCGCCAGCTATGACTGCCAATCAAAAGAGCCGACTGAGTTCCACCAATCACTGGTCTTCCTCGTTCCTTTGCTTCTTTCCCACCCCGGGGAGCCTCTGGGAGTTGCAGTTTGAGCGCGGTTCTGGGCGGGGAGGCGCCTTTGCTGCTCTCTCCGACTCTGCCCCTAGCAGCGCGGAACTACAGGTCCCAGGGTCCCTTGCGGCCGCCGTAGTCAAGTGGCCGGTGGAATTGGCCCAGGATGACAGCTGGAGAATGGAGTCAGGTACGGGGAGCGGCTTCGTGTGGAACCGGGGTGGGTGGTCGCTGTTGGGCCATTGAGTCGGCCGCGAGAAACGGGTGCGGGGTCCTGGCAAGAGAGTTATGGGAGCCTGAGGGTCCTGTCCCACGGGGGCCCTGACCTGCAGTGGCAGGCGGAAGGGACAACAGTAGGAGCTGAGGACTACCTCCTGGGCTCGTGCGGGTGGCGGCGGCTACCCTCCCCCTCCCTGCCGCCGCCAAAGGAGTGGAAACAAGTAGGGGTTAATTATTCTGACATCTCGGCGGAGTGGCATCAGGGCAGAATTCTGTCACAGCAGTGATAGCATTACTCCGTAGTAAGGTGATGTGCCAGGGTGATGCCAAAGGCATGGTGTGAGGCCATAGGAGCCACTTGATATCTGATTGACCTCGGTGAGTCCATGGCCTGGTGACATCACAACTTGATGAGAGTCATCTTGATACTGTGGTATGGTGTTGGCCCTTTAATGTCATGATAATAACGATGACATCGAGGCTTTGCTAGAAATATTAAGCTAATAGCGTTTCTATTTATGGAAATCCCAAAGAGATGCAAGGCTTATCCTTTATAGGACATATCCAGGAGGGCTTTATGCCAAAACTAGGTAATGATAAGAATACACTCAAGAAAGAGACTGATTATGTTTATATTTATCCTGTTATGGTGTAGAGCAGGGCTTGGCAAACTTTCTGTGAAGCGCCAGATAGTAAATAGTTCAGGCGTTGCAGGCCAAAAGGCAAAATTGCGGATAATTTGTAGGCACTTATATAACAAGAGAGAAAACAAATTTCAACAAATGTTTATTGATGAAATCCAAAATAAAACAATAGTTGAGTACTTTTTTTTTTGTTATACAGGACTACTAGTAGAAATAATGGAATTCTTTTGGGGAGATAACATTTTATTTAATTGGGGCTCACAGAGTTCCCCATCTTAAAAATCATGTCAAGTGTTCATCCGTTAATGCTGATCTGTAATGAGATTTTCTTATTTCATCTTTGTAAATGTCTTTTCACAATGATAGGTACTGCCAAATACTGATATCAACCCACAAGCATATTCTTGTTAATTTTTATTTGATTTTTAAAATTTCCGAATAGCTTTAGCTTTATAGAAAAATTGCAAAGGTAGTACAAAATTCCTGTGTACCCTTCACCCAGTTTCCCCTACTGTTCTTTTCTTATTTTTAACAGCTTTATTGAAATGTATTTTATGTACCATAAAATTCACTCAGTTCAAATGTATAATTAAATGATTTTTAGTAACTTTACTGAGTGGTGCAACCATCACCATAATCAGTCTTAGATCACTCCCCCAATAAGATCCTTCGTGCTCATTTATAGTTAAAACTTGTTCCCACTCCCAGCCCCAGGTAATGACTAATCTACCTTCTGTCTCTATAAATTTGCCTATTCTTGACATTTCATCTAAATAAAATCTTACAATATGTGGTCTTTTGTGCCTGGCTTCTTTCACTTAGCATGATATTTTTAAGGTTCATCCATATTGTAGCATGTATCAGTACCTCATTAATTTTTATTTCCAAATAGTATTCTATTTTATGGCTATAACACACTTTTTCTGTCTACTCAGTAGTTCATAGGTTGTTTCCAATTGTTGGCTATTACTACTAATGTTAGCTGCTAAGAACATTTGTGTACAAGTCGGCCCGTGGACCTATGTTTTCATTTCTTATTGGTAGATACCTAAGGGTGGGATTACTGGGACATAGGGCAAATTTATGTTTAACTTTTCGAGGAACTGCAAAACTGGTTTCCTTGATGGCAGCACTATTTGCTTTTCGGCCAGCAATGTAGGAGGGTTTCTCTTTCTCCAAATCCTTGCCAACATTTGTTATTGTCTGTCTTTTTACCATAGCCATTCTAAATGGGTGTGAAATGATAACTCATTGTGGTTATAATTTGTATTTCCTTAATGACTAGTGATGATGAGCATCGTCTTGTGTGCTTATTAGCCAGTTGTGTATCTTCTTGGATGAAGTGTCTGTTCTCATATTTTCCCCATTTTTGAATTGAGTTATTATCTTTATTGTCTTTTCATTGTTGAATTGTAAGAATTGTTTATACCTTCTAGATACAAGTCCTTGCCAGATATATGATACGTGGGTATTACTACTAGCCTGTTGCTTGCCTTTTCATTTTCTTAATGGTGTCTTTTGAAGTGCAAAGGTTTTGAATTTTGATGAGTTCCAATTTATAATTTTTTCTTTTGTGAACCATGCTTTTGGTGTTTTACATTTTTTAAAGTGTACAGTTTATTATTAATGTATTTTAGAGTTGTGTTACCATCAACACAATCTTATTTAAAAGATTTCCATCACGCCGGAAAGAAACCTCGTGCCCATTTCAGTCACCCCTCATTGCTACTCCCAGCCTTAGGCAACCAAGAGTCTATTTTCTGTTTCTATGGATTTTCATTTTCTGGGTTTTCATACAAACAGACACAATATGTGGTCTTTTGTGTCTGCCTTCTTTCACTTAGCATGTTTTTGACCTTTATCCAAGTTTTACTATGTAGCAGTACTTTGTTCCTTTTTATAGCTGAATAATATTCCATTGTATGGGTATACAATATTTTATCTGTTCATCAGTTGATGGGAATTTAGGTGGTTTCCACCTTTTGGTTGTTATGAATAATGCTCCTATAAACATTCGTGTGCAAGTTTCTGTGCAGACATGTGTATTCATTTCTCTTGGTACATATCTAGGAGTAGAATTGCTAGGCCACAGGGCAGCTCTTTTTAACCTTGTGAAGAACTGCCAAACTGTTTTCTACAACCACTGCACTGTTTTACAGTTCCACCAGCAATGTATGAGGGTTTTAATGTCTCCATCCCTTTGCCAACACTTGTTAATGTCTGTCTTTTTGATTATAGCCATTCTAGTGGGTGTGAAGTGGTGTATCATTGTGATTTTGTTGTTTTGACTTGTTATGGGAAGTGTGTAAAGCATGTTGACCTTACTTTTGGTTCAAACAGTGGTAGTTGTTGAAATGACTTTTCTTCAGTGTAAGTTTCACAAAGAAGTGCTGTTTTGCCTTGTTGTTTTAGATTGAATTAATTAAGAAACATTATCAAGTCTGCAGCGAAAGCTCATTTCCAGAGCCATTCAGTGTTTGATTTTGTCCAACAGTTTAAAAATGTAAAAATCATTCCTACTTTGTTTCTCAGATGAAAAACATGAGTGGTCTTAATCTGGCCTGCCAGATGCAGTTTGCTGGTGATGGGTCTAGAGTGAGTGTCCTGTATGTAGTAGGTGTTCAATAAATGTCTTGTTAATTACAGAGATACAGCAGGCTGGTTGTGTGGTATTCACACAGGATTGAATATAGTAATATTTTACCTTAATAATACATTAAGGAATTGGATTTGATTGCTAAGAACAGCTGGAAAAACAACTCTAAGTACCTCTCCTACTGAGTGACTTGTTTGGGTTATCTTCTTTTGTAGATAGTGTCTTGTACTTTTATTTTATTTATTTTTATTTAATTTTTAAATTTATTTTATTTTTTCTTTTGCTACCATATGGCAGTTAACTTTCAATTCTGAGTCCCCTGAGGCTAAGGGTAAGGTAACCCTTGACTTTTTGAAGGCTGAAAGACAAACAGATCTATAAGGGAGAAGGTTTCTTTTGTCTCTGGCCCCAAGTTATGGAGGAACAAGGTGGTGACTGTTTATCTATCAAGAGTCAAAGGAGGCCCCTATTAGGGAATGACTCCCTTGTTGCTCATATGATTGAATGTTTCCTGTTGCCTTTTCTACATGGTCACCTAGATTTTAGGTCCTAGAACAAGCCAGATTCATCTTCTGGACTAAGAATAACTAACATTTATCAATCATATGTGTCAGATAGTGGTCTTATATCTCATTTAATCCTTCACAACAATCCTACGAGGTAGGTACTATTATCCTTCCAGTCCCCACCTATTTAAAAATGAGAATGCAGGTTCAGAGAATCGAAGCAATCTAACATGCCTAAGGCCACATGATTTAGTAAAAGTTGGAGCTAAAATTGAAATCTGTGCCTAACACCCTAGCACTTAACCACTGCAACATAGTGCTCGATATTGCTGAAAATGAAATTATATATAAATGAAAACCTCGGATAAGGCAACACTAATTCCTACAGCTCTTTCAGGCTGTAACTCTACCTCTGATAGTAAGAAAATGACATGTTTTTCATGCTCTAGAGCAATGCTGTTGTATAGAACTCTTTGTGATGATGGAAAAGTTCTATTATCTATGCTGGTCTAGTATGGTAGTGTTAACTTTAAAAATAAAACTGTTGGGGCGCCTGGGTGGCTCAGTCAGTTAAGCGTCTGCCTTTGGTTCAGGTCATGATCCCCAGGTCTCAGGGTCCTAGGATCGAGCCCAGCATCGGGCTCCCTGCTCCGCAGGGAGCCTGCTTCTCCCCCTCCCTCTGTCTGCTGCTCTGCCTACCTCTGCTCTCTCTCTCTCTCTCTCTGTCAAATAAATAAATAAAATCTTTTAAAAAAATAAAAAAATAAAAATAAAATAAAACTGTCAGTTACTTTAACGGCAAAAATGGGTTTATTCAGGAATAGCAGAGAATCACAATTCAGGACGTGCAAGCTACAGCAAAACCATAGGCAAGTCTGGAGAACAAAGAAGAATGTGGTTTTATAGAGGAAAGCGGGGAGTTGGGAGGACCTGTTATAAGCAAAAAGCCCATTGTAGTAAACTGGGAGTTTG